CGTAAGATTTGTTAAATAAAAGGGAACTCTTTAGCTACAATGTATCAATGTTATGTTATAAAACAAATGGTAAACACCACAGCGTACACTATTGAGTTATGGATGCACGCGGGAGGTTGCTAAGCACGAAAGAAGCGTAAGAGTCGCTCGAGGCGATAGCCGAGAGCGACTCTAGCTTCTTGAGTGCTTAGCAAACCTCCCAAGTGCATCCATAACTCAATAGTGTACGCTGTGGTGTTTACCATTTGTTTTATAACATAACATTGATACATTGTAGCTAAAGAGTTCCCTTTTATTTAACAAATTTTACGCGACCAGAAAAAACAAGCGCGCGCGGAAAAATAGTCTTTGCATTTGCTCACGTCAGCAGCGTACACCCATGGGCAAATGGGGGACACTAAATTGACCAATCAGAGCGCGCGCTTTACTTTGGTTATGTTATAATGTGTAATTTCATCTACTTCTTCCGGCCTGATGATCAGGAGCTCCTAAAACCTACTACTAACTAAATGCCACGGTTGATGGGAAATGAAAAAATCAATTCTGAATCTCACCAATCTTGATCATGCGAACCATTTCCACCAGAGCAGTTGGTTTGACATGGGCAGCAGCCAGCGTGCCAATGCAGATCATGGCGTCGTACTCTCCAGTGTTAACTTCAGAATTCTGATCAGAGTTAAGAGGGGCGCAGATGAACTTTTGGTAAACGTTTTTCTTCCTTGCTTCATTCAACATTTCAGGCGAAATGTCCAGAGCACACAGGTGAGTGTAGCCAAGTTTGTGAAGCTCAGCTCCACACAAACCAGTGCCAGCTCCGCAATCAATAATTTTGACCTCATCCTTCGGTTTGTCCAAGTATTGTTTGATGGCAGCGTCCAAGCATTCAGCTTGTGGTCGATGACAGACTAAGAGTGCTTTTACCACAACGTCCTGAAAGATGTTTTGACAAACATTGCAAACCAAACTCAAATTAATGTCAGACAGAAGTGTTCCTTGCTAGATTTCGCAATCAAAAGTTATATTATCATCATGATCTAAAATATCTCATTGAACATTGTTGTCACAGCTATTACTTTCACTTCCTTTTCTTGCCATTCATCAGCCAAAGTAAGTTTTTGCTACATAAATCATGGAAACTGTGGTCGATTTCTCAATTGCTTACATGTTCGTTATGACCAGTTCCTTCCCCAGCTTTGACTACTTCACTACTTGAGCAAGCAAAGTAATTTATTTTTTTAATGTACTCCATTCAATAAAATTAAGTTCCATTAAGCCCCCACTTTCAAAACGAGGTCGAGCGCCAAGCTTTCTTGTGAAAAAGAGTTTTATTTTTATGAAAACTAACTCCTCTCCATAACAAACACTTCCCACTTACCCATATTTTGACAAGGAGACTTAAGACTTCAGAGCCGAAAAATGGCCGATGGAAAAGGATCCAGTTCGCTTGAAATAAAGGATGGTGACAGAGAAATCGAGAGAAAAATTTACGCGAAAAACTGAATGGTGCCGTTCCCAAAACCCAGAGGCCAATTTTCAAGACGACTCTTCAAAAGACTCTATTAACTGCTTGTAATTGAGAAAAAAAATTAAAAAAACAAACAAACCGACAAAATTAATAATTTTAATCAGAGTCGTGTGTTAAAAAAAATCATCATTTGACTCGCAATTTCTTAAGCCGTTTGTTTATTTCAATGACGGTAAGCAATATATGAGAATGCAATAAATAAATATTTAAACAATGTGCAGAAAATTAATAACTAACTTAACAGTTTAATTAATGAATGATTAAATAGATAATTAAATAAAGGAATAATTTGACAGATAGAATGAGAGATTGATGTTACTTTTAGTACATATCTATTAAAAACACACAAAGCATATAATTATGTAAACAAAATGCCTGCAAAAATGCAGGGTAATAGAAAAGCAAAATAAGGGATAATTAATGAATAACAAGAATATGCAATCAAAAAATGTAAATAAATAATGGTAATTAAACTGGGTTGAGCACAATTTTGACTAAAATCATGTGCATAATTTGAGAATGGAATGCGCAATAAGAACTGATAAGTTTGATTTCACACCAAACTTACTTGGCACGAAGTTCAATTATCACTTTATTCCATCCATTTTGAAATTACAAATGCTAACACCTAAATACAGGATTTTATCTACATTAGAAAAATATATATCTCAGTGATTCAGTACTTATTGGTCGGTAAAAAAGGGGGGGGGGGACCGAAAGAAGGAAAAGAAAAAAGAATTACAACAAAAATTGCACAACTCGGCACACAATCGTTTCTCTGTCTTTTACTATCTTGCGATTTGATTGGTTTATTTGAACAGGCCTAGGCCTGACTGATCGTTTATTTTAATTGTTGCACTCTCATAGACCGGTAAGAGATGTATTTTAGAAATAAAATTATGCGATTTGTGAATAAAATGCACTGCTGAGAGCTAATAAGATTGCAAGGATCACCACTGTTTTCAAAATGGATGTAATAAATAGATAAGTAAAGTAACAAATAGTTTGTCAGACCAGATGCATAACTAGATGTATAATTGAGTAAGTAAATGGATTGATGCAGATCAATATAGATACTGAATTTTCAACCCACCTCATCATACTTATTCGCCCAATCGTTATACAAATCCCTAATTTGATCCTCTGTTGTGGTGGCTGGTGACAGATCGGCAAATCGATTTCCAAAGTACTTTCTGTAACCACTCACATGTGTATGTGTAGCCATTCTGAAAAAAAAGTTCAATTAAGGCTTAACACAACATATCATCAATAATTCTCCGCACTGTCTGCCATATAATTCTTAAGATGTTATTTCCGAAATTTAATGTTGGATCATCTACTAATCTCTCGTCACTTATCTGCTAGACCCTGCTAGATTTTGTACCGATATTGTAGAGAAAATCTCTATCTTTTTCACTAATGAGGGGTCAAGTGTTTACTGCTATCAAGAAAATACGAATAACCAAACCAAGCTTTCCCACATTACCTAGATGATTATCAATGGTCTAGTAGCGTTAGAAGTATTTTCAATGTAACAAAAAAATACATTAACGGTGTCACATGGGCGTGAATAACATTAAGTGCAGAGTAACGAGAGAGAACTGAAGTCTTTGTTCCACTCCACGAACTTCAGAAAACCTAATCTACCAGTGAGTTTTGACTATGCTATGACCCGCAAGAGGCTTGAAACTAAACCCTTAAACTGACTTCGCTTTGAAATGTTTCACACGCGACAGTTGTCTCTTTTATAACCTCAGTGTCCGTTGGATGTTAAGTATTCTTTCCCAAGTGTAAAATGAGGTAAATTTCTAAATAATTAGGTGTTGCGTCTCCTAAGGGTATTACAAGTTTTAATATGGAGGCTAGTGAATGAGTTGCCAATATTCGGATCCTTGTGTTTACACAAAGATTTCTGGCGTCGCCAGCGGGCAAAACAAGAGAGAAGAGGGTGTTTCGACGTCGACGAAAAAAACTATTTTGGAGAGAAATCATCGCTTTTTCGACGCCTTCTTAGTGGGGCAACAGACTATAGGTTTATCATCGGGTTTCTCCACAAATGTAGGTCACGTGCAATGGGGAATACCGCAGACACTCAATAATTAAGGCGCAACCTTTCCTGCACGATTTCGAAAATGGCGGATATGTCGAATTTGTGTCATCTTTCTGCGCTCAAACATACAGACCCACACACCGTTCGCGGTAGACCCTCTCTAAAAGATGGCGTGTGTAATGAGCGTATATTCCGAACCGATCGTTCCGTGAACTCAAAATAGCAAAAGAATCAAATGATTTAACGAAGGTCTCTCTGGAATCAAACCAGAAATCGAATGAGTCATCAGTGAACAGAAAATGTGGACAGAGAGACAGGAGAACATTT